ACTTAGAATTATTCATGAAGTTTAAAGCAATATTATGACAAACACTAGAAACCATAGCAACGCTACTCAGTTATTATCCAAAGCAACATGATTATTATGCTATAAAAATCATGGTACAAATAATGCATTGGAACTTTTAAAAACAAATATCTCGAAAACTATTATAGATTATAGACACTTCTAACAAGTAAACCTTTTTTGTTGTAGGAATACGAGGAAATGAGATTTTTTGGTCAGTTGCTGTATACAGGATAGCACAAAAAAGTTATGATGAGTTATTTACCGAAATAGTGCTGTAAGTGGCGCCCTCTAGAAGCCATAAAAAGAACGGATTCTTGTTTCTTATACTAACAAACCTCCATATACCGAGTTTTATGCCAAAATCTGAAATATTTCTCCAGCAATAAAGAAAAATAGAAAATAAAATTGTAACTTTGATACACTGCATCTTGCAAACTATCAATTTTTGGACTGAGGAATGTTTAGGTCAATTCACATATTTTGGTCTGTAGTATCTCCAGTTTCGAGATTTCCCAACCTTTAGCAGACCCTGTATATGTTTGACTCATCTATTAAGTTTTTTATTGAAGTTCATTACTGTTTCTTTGTCTTCAGTATCTTTCAAAAAAATATATAGATATTTTAACAAATTAGTAAACCGTTGATTAGGTTTTATATTTCTGTTTTTTAGATGTAGGTTTTTAAAATTAAAAGAAAGTTGTTAACGCCTTGTATATTATAATAGCTCTTACTACAAATATTCAACATCATGTAGCTAAAAATGTGCCATTCGCTTTTTGTGGTGTTGTATACGTTTATTGCGAGATATGCTTCTTTCTTTTGTTCCTGAATTGTATTTTTTTTTCAATAAACATTCTTATTATTATCATCATTACTATTAGAATAAAGATTTAAGACATAGGAGGATAGTCGTATGTTTGACCGAAGTCATAATTAAGCTTTCAGCTATTACAGTACCTCCCTCTTCTTGGTTAGGAATATCTAATCTACTGTACGAACTTCTCTTGATCCTAGTATAGGCTTTCCAAAGAAGACGGATTCTGTTACTCTATAACATTCTCTTCAGTTGTACCGGTGCTCTTTCAAACAATATGACCTGTGAGGTGTCCTGTAATTATGCGAAGTGGATTTTTGCCCATTGGGAGGCTGTTCTTTTTCTATGTCTGCGTTCAGATCAACTTTCCATATACCTTGGACTGTTGTCTTACCCTTTCTGGTACCCCAGGAGATGTTACGGACAAGTGTTATAATGTTTAGCAAAGACCGGTAAATTTGACGACTATTTGGAAAATTTCATCATTTGCATATCGAATAGTTAAAAGTTTCCTTGTGCACGAAGTGTATTTGTATAATCAATGGATCAGTAGACAATATACATACGTATCTAATGTATTTTTAATGGGACTTCGTATTGTTGTCGGGCTATATCCGGACTGGGAATTTGTTACTTAGACAAAGGAATCCAGAATCAGCAGATTTTCTACGCGATAATTTTGGAAATTCTTCCAGATTTTCAATTACATTAGCTGTGTTAAGAATTTATCAGAGAGTACTGAGAAATATTTTTGCATATGATCCTAACACAAATACTTTATCAGAACAAACATCGAAATCAAGCTGGCCTCGTTCACAGGCGAAAATGATAGGTTGGTAACTTGAGACAGCACCATCTAGTAGAAGACCTCTACCTGTAGAACGCTCGGATATGATGATGTTACATAATCCTAAGTGCTATATCCATTCCTGAAGTAACCTGAAGTAACTATGCGCATCGCATAACTAATGCTCGTACCTTCTCGGATACTCTGACGTATGTCCTAAAAGATTTGGCACAAAATTTATTGGCTTTAATTTTAACAAACACAAAATAATATCAAGTTGCCTTTGGAAGCAAACGTTTGTTTACTTAATTCACTGTCAGTTGACATTCATTTATTTTGAAGTTTTCACTTCAAGATGTCGTAAATTAGAAATAAGAAAAAGTATCTACACTTTGGTTGGCTGGCTACCCAAAGCTGAAATCTGTCGAATGTTCCTGAATGAAAACATTCCACGCCGAACCATCTATCGAACAATAGCGGAGAGAGAGAGAGCAGGCCATACCATATCTAAGTCTCCCAGAAAGTGGAAGATCACGTGCATTTACTGCACAGAGGTCAGAGAGATTGGTGAAAAGAGCGAAAAATCAGGTTGGAATGTCAACAAGGAATTGAGGAGGAATATTCTTACATATCGAAAGAGACTTAAGGCGGCTCCGACGCAGTGAGTTTCAAGCCATTTTACATGGGTTCAGCTGCTTCAAAACTGACACTCCATTATTCAATATTTTTGAATGAAATTCATAGAGTATGTTGAGAAGATAATTGCCCAGGGTGGTATAGGAGCACTTTTTGAAATTTTGTTTTTGCACAAGTTTTATGACGGGTTGAAGTGCGCACTTTTTCTGTTCAACTTCGCGATTTTTTTAAAAAGAACCTAGTGAAAAAATTGAAAAAGTGGCTCTATAGTACCCTGTGGGGTTTTGTTTTCAGCATTCTGTGAAAATTTCATCCAAAAATATCAAAAAATAAAGCGTCAATTTCGAAGCGCGAATCGTATTTTGGATGATTTTTGTCTACTGTTTCGTACTGCCAACCCAAGCGTTGCGGCGCAATGTACGGACTAAGAATACGTCCTTTCTTAGTCCGTTTCTTCAGATAATTTGGTGGCCATATTTCATATAATATCGCGTAGATAAGCTGTTCTGCAAATAGGTACTCATAATCGCGATCGCTGATACTCCTCGATTTTAAAGCCGTTTTACTTCCCGCGTCATTGGCGAGGAAGTATTTTAATCGCGAAAAATTTCTAAAATGAGATGTTATGTTTTTTAAGTCATATGAAAAACTGTATCACTCATCAGCTTGGAAATAACCGCTCGGATTTTTATGAAATTTCTACACGGGGTTACTAGTATGCCAAAGATTTGTAGTTTTAGTCCAGTGGCAACGGTGCTATAGGCAAAAAAGAAAAAGTAACAATTGCTGAAACTCCGTTTTTGAAGTTACAGGGGTTCCTTATCATTGACAGAAAAAAGTTGTACTGCTTAAAAAGTGGGGGTTGGGGAAGGTGATTCTAAATGTTGCATCTTTGATATCAGTGAAACACGTTCTATTATTAAGAAGCTTCTGATCCCAGTGATTACAGGAAATTTAGGTAACGAAAATCCGACGAATGATGTGCTCACGATTTGAAAAAAACGGTACCTGCTCTATAGGTTTGACACCAAGAGCCAGCAGATCTATCTGCAACTGCCGACAGGAGGGAAGAATGAATTCGGATATCACTCCAGTCAAGTATAGGGAAATTTAGCGTGGAACTTTAAAATTATCGATATGTCAAGGAAATATGTTTTTGAGAACGATAATTTGGTAAATTTTATACCTGCATTTTCATTTGAAATTCATGACCCGTGAAATGTACCCATTTCGCCGTTACCTTCAATTTGTATTCTGCAGTCTGGATATAAGCAGGACATAATTTCCTAAGGTGCTATCAGAGCTTTTTACAAAAGTTTGTCTTTGCGCATGAATTATGGTAGGTTGAAATGCTTACTATTTGTGCTCAAGTTCTTGATATTGTAAAAAGATCCTAGTGGATAAAATCGAAAAAGTGGATCGTTAGCACCCTGTGGACTTTATTTTTAGCATACTGCAAGAGTTTCGTTTGGAAATAATAGAAAATGAAACGTAAGCTGTGAAGTCCAAATCGGTTTTTGGGCGAAATTTATCTACTGTTTCGTCCTGCCAGTCCAAGCGACGCGACGCTGCGTTCCGACTAAGAAAAAATGTATTCAAATGATTTGATACATTTCCTAAAATAAATTCAAGAACACAAATTAAAATTCGTTTATTCATTTGAGTAAACACAATTATGTTTACAAGGGTCATGTGCTGTGTACATGGTAACAATTGAATGTGGGTCATAAAAATATCCTTATACCCTCAAAATAAGAGGAAACAGTTAGGTAGTTTTTGCAAAGCAATAAACAGGTAGGCTTATACCTGGATTAAGTACATTTCTTGTCTACTGTGATAGGGAGATGGAGGCGATGCTGCCAGAAATGGATGTGTGCGATTAATCAACAAACCACAAGACCGAACTTCGGTGTCCAATGATTTTTGTATTGCCTTACTAGAAAACTCTGTTGGGTATATGATGGAGTTTACTTGAACTTTACAGCTTGTTGTCTGCCTTATTCTACAAACTTCACCAAATCGAGAGGCTGTCAACCTTATCCTCCGATGAAGGCGCGACAAAGTACAGTCCTGTTATTTGGTGACTTGTTCGATCTGCAAAATCTCGTTGTCACTTTTTTTAAGTTTCCCTAAAAATTTTCGCTTAGCAACCTACAAATCAATGTAGTTAATGTCAGGTTTTTGATTGAATTCGCCATTAAAATATACATTTTCTTTGGAATTGCTATCCGAATTGTTAGTTATTTTTATATCAGCTTTTTTTGGTCCGAGTTTCTTTTCAAGATTCTTGTGTTCGAGTCTTTGTTCCATCTTAGCGATAAGCGAGGTTAGACTAAGCTTAGAACGCAAATTTATTTGGACCAGATATACAGGCCGCTGGGTATTGTGGCTCACTACAGCTGCGGCACATCTTCCTTGGTATGACCTCTTTTTGCAATAATTTATTCGCTTACCCCAATGTATTTTGCGATTATAGAGTTGATCTGCTCCACACTATTGTTGACCTCATCATGATTTAAACTCACTGCATTCGTAATTAAAATGATCGCATATGACCCTTTATTGTCCATTATCAGCCTTGATAAAAAAAGGCACTCAAGAACAATCACACCAACAACAATTCAACAACACAATATCGACGAACAGTAACAAGGGGAGAAAAAGACTAAATGATCACTTGCTGAGTACCAAAAGAAACGATTTACATAATTGAAATCCGACTCTGTTATTATAAAAATTTACCTTGGTATGCACCCGTAGTCATCCTTTCCTCTTTTAAAGTAGCGTCGACCACCGTCAAGGGCCAGCCTACCCTCGTTTCCTTTTCACCCTCCCGTTACCTCAGCAGATGGTGCTCGTGATTGTAGGAGCCCCGTTAAGTGCCCCAAATACTCTCAAGCGCATCTCATTCGTATACCAACATGCTGTCGTCAACTGAAGCGGGTACACTCTGCTAGTGGAAAAATCATTATTAATGATTTAGATTTTATACGAACAAAGCAGAGAAATGTCCTGACAATGTTAGATACCTACACAAAGCGAAATTTGCAGATAAAATCCTTGTCTGGTGCGTATTTTCTAACAGGAGTGCATCTCAACCTTTTGTGGAAAGAGTGAGGGGTGAAGCTTTGAATAGTCGGAGCTATACCTAGTGATAACTGCCTTTCCAAATTGCTTCAGTTTAACCACGAACATCATGCTAATGACTAGAGACCGGATTATATGCATTTGAATATTAGAATATGCATTTACATTTTAGGCCAATTATCGCAGGTTGTTGCATATTTCAACAAAAATCTAGAGACGTTCCATATTTTTGCTATAATTGCAACTTTTTCGGCATGTTATCTCGATGATAAATTAAATAAATTTTACGTTGCAGCTAGATAAAATTATTGATCTCAAGGTTTATCATGGAGGCTGGGAAGCCCAAGATGAAGAACAATTAAGGCGGCGAATTTACGAAAAACTGAGAGAAATTGATCTGAATTCCGTCCCATGAGCGACATTCCAAGAAAGTTGCTTTTGGTAGAGCAAATTGGGCCACTCCACATAATTCGATAGTATCGTTTAGTTAAGCATTGAGATGTAATTTATGATAACTGGATAGTGTTTAATAAATTTCTACATTAAAAAAAATCCGATTTACATTTTGTGCCAGAACTTTTAGAACATACGTTACCTTCCAGTACTATGTCATATTTTTTAGCTACCACACTTAACAGAGTTACAACTCTACAGTATCGGCATTCTCTATTATCTATCGCCCTTTTTAAATATGGATATGATGATACCAAAACCATGTTAAGTGTTTATTAAGTTCAAATAAATTAAAGATCCCAGCCTGGTTATAGGTACTAACTTAACAAAACCATAGAGCAACATCAAAATTAAGTTTGATCAACATAGTTCGGCTATACTAGATGTTTATTAGACCAGCAATCACTGTTGGGATGCATGTAGGGATGGCAACGATACATTGATGTATCGAAAATATACATCGGACGTAGAACATCGATGTTTAGGCATCGACGGTTTTATGACGATATATTATGTCTTTATTGAGTATTGTTATATACAATACAGAAATCTGCAACAGGGCGAAGTCTAGCCTAAGCTACTCTACTTAACCCTAAATAAAAGCTAACAATGAAAAAAGCCACAGATAATACATAAAATGCAATCATCAGAAGTGATCAAATACAAAATAGCATAGAAAATATGAGATAATTTGAATGAAAATAAACAAAAGCCTAAGACACAAAACCGCAAAGCGAAGAGTATATAATCAAAAACTATTGAACTATCCATTACATTGACTATTGTAATAAAATTGCCTTACCAGGACTTTAAACATCGGTACAGAACTAAACTTAAGCGCGTCATCGATACTATTGTATATAGTAACAGCATTATATGAAAAATATTTCCTAAATAAAGATAAACGAAACTTAGGAAGAGAAAGTTTATTAGTGAACCTCGTATTTAAATCATGCAAATCACGCCTAAAGACTAATTTTCTTTTCAGGTAAGCAGGGCTCTGTGATGATAAAATTCGATGTCGATTAATCGACATCGAAAGGATCATAAACATCGGTATACCCCGAGTATATCCTTAACTGTGCCACCATCTCTAAGCGAGGACTGGTAGTTTCTAAATTGAAAGCTCAGAAAGCTGTTTAGTAGTATCTTAATACCATCATTACAGACGTGAGATGGACTGTAGGCTTTTCTTTATTCTGTACTTGCCCAAGGGATATAATGAAATAGGTAAACTGAAAACAAGCGCATTTCCGCATTTAACGATTTCAGGTTCTTTTGATTATTTTATTGTATGTACTTGTAGTGTCGCTGTTTTATTGTTAATTAATCGAAATGCCACGAAAAAGTGATAGGTGGAAGTACTTTAAAAAACACTCAACAACTTGTGCACAGTGTAAAGTATTTAATGATCATCAATGTGTTCTTAATTTTGACAATCTCATATCTTGCAGTTTCCTATAATCCTACTTTTTTTACTGAAGTACGAGTATATTGCAATCGGTATCCTTCTTTCATCCTATCCTGAAGTTGCTGTCGCGATTTTTATTCTTGCTTAATGTTTCTGAAATCGAGAAAAAAAAACGCGGTGGGAATTCCACCAACGGATAAAACGACCATTCCGCTAAAATCGATGTTTTCTAAGAAATTGCCTTCCCTAGCTGCATGGTGTTTCCTCGCCATATTCGCAAATTCGTAGTCTGCAGCCTCTGCAGAACTTAACTTTGCGTACTGTCACTAACGCCCCATGGTATGTCTCCAACGAGATCCTTCACAGGGTCCTCGACATTCTTTACCTAAGGGCGTACATGAAATAACAGGTGCAGTTACCTTATAGACAAGTAGAATCGCACAGCAACCCTCTGTTGCATGAGTCAGTAGAATACACAGTTGAGCAAGTTCGCAAGCACACAAGATGAACAAAACTAAATCGGGCAATTTTAGGCCCAAAAAACAGTTTTTCCTCAGATACAAATATTTAATTTAACTTTAGATCAAATCAGACGCTCTTCCTCCTCTTTGCTCTTGCCCCTTCCTTCCTTTCTTCTTTCTCCTTGACTAAAACTGGTATCTGGGCAACCAGAACTGACATACCCACTGATCTACAATACTTTAACCAAGAGCAAAGGTCCCTTGGACCGCCCTGACGGATAGTGCCTATTGGAGAACACACCGTAGTACTCGTCTCAATGCAGAGCGCAAAAGCGGGCGCCCATAGCACCAGCGATCACCGGTCGAGAGCGTCGGTACTGTCACGCCAGCGGCTCATTAGAACCTGAACATACGCTAATTCTTGGGTAATTCAGAATAGGAGCTCAAGAGAATTTGGGAACAAGCAGCCTAGTCTGTGAGTACTTCCCAAATTTTATTTCGAGTAGGATATAGTGGCCATTTCCTTTAAGGTATTGCGGTTATTTTTTGTTCTTGAAACCACTAGGTGCCTAGTAAGAGGCGATAATTTGACAAGAGACAGAGCCGGGTAAGGGTACTAAAAGTGAATGGCTGCTAGATGTAATTTAAAGATTACATATATGTGGTACTTTTGGAGGATTAAGTTTATTCTACAAGGATCATTTCTCACTGGAGCTCTAGCAGTGCTAGGTCGGTTCTAGACCAGACGGACTCTATCTAGAACCACACTTACTAGGGTATACCTGACAGGTTATTCCGAACAGTTGAACCGTGCAGGTTAAACGGAGCGTGTATGTGCAATTGTACAACGGGGTAGGTTTTCGTTGGCTACTCGTATCTCGGTAACCACGAGAAAGTTTTTATCTGTACGACAGAGTTTGCAAAAGCTTACCGTTTCATGTATGTTCTCTACCCAGTAACGCAGCTCAAGCTTATCTGATGGGTGTGGTCATACCTGTCACGTGTACCCTTGCTGGTTCCAGGGAGGGCGAGGGAGACCCGGGGCTCGCGGGTTTGAATCTTGGCCTTGGAAGTTAATTCCTTGCCACAGATGTTGTGTTGTTGTGTGTTGTCAATATCACGCACGTGGGTGCAATGTTAACGATGGTACGTACATACCAGTAGATGACTCGTGGCGTAGTACAGTGTTGGTACTACGGGGTCGGCAAAAAGGGTCAAGGCTGGCCTAGTTGCCAGGCTTCGCCTCCCCACCACCACCACCACCACCACTACGACTACTACTACTTCCGGCAGGGATAACTGAGACCTGTCGAAAAGTCGAAAGCTTATAGAAGACGCACGTATCATGGAAGTTTTTTTGGAGTTTTCTGCAGAGGGGATAGGTTTTTCCTTTTGCTTATCAAACCCCCCGAAGTCCAATAAGACCAGTAGGGAGTGACACATCGGGTTATTCAGTAGTCCCCTCCCAGGCCGGTTCTGAATAAGACTTTCACTCTCGGTGCAACAAACTGCGTTGAGGCACCTTAGTTTCATTGATTGAATAAACTTCCAGCTAGCTAATCAAAGGTAACCCAGTTTGCCGGTCAAGCGCCCTTTCATTCCTCCCTATAATCAACGTTGATCAGCGCCGGTTGATAACACCCGAAAGGTGTTTCGCGCTCCACGGAAAGCAGTATCGATTGTTTCACAGCCTACTATGAGTCTGTATTCAGCACGGCGGTGCGTCGAACCTTGCTTCCGCGACCATGCCGTTCTAGGTCACGTGACCGTCGCTACTTTATATTATATACACTTTTATGTGTAGTGACTTTTAGTGTAGACCCGTTTCCGCGTGTGTTGTCGTCAGTGGCCGGGTTTGGATCTGGAACTGTGTCAACGACGTTTTGGAAAATCGCTCGACTCCTCGCTTTCCTTCCTTCAGGTTGGCTTCCTTGTGATATACACACCAGGGCTGTGATTTTATTTTTACGGTTATTTTAATATACACGTGAGTATATTTTTAATTCTTATGTTATACTGTCACATAACCAGGTTATTGTGGGGGCGGTATGATACACGCAGCGTACCGAAAATATTTATGATTATATATACATAGTTTTTATATTAGTTTTTATTTGTCATGTGAGAAAGTATGATGTAACTTCCAATCAAGGTTAGAGTGAATATAATATATTTGTCCCTGATGAAGTACATGTTTTGACAGTAGATTTTGTGGATATTTTGTTCATGGATGTATGCTTCTTGCAAATTAATAGGCCGACCTTTTCCACAAAGCAAAAATAGGCTAGCCGGACGGAGCTTTGTCAGTTTGACAACTGTTTTCACTTGACTGTTAGATTTGATAGTTTGTTGATCAAATGTGACGAACTCTTAGAGCTGTAGCACGGCTACAGTTATGTACTCATAGTCAAAACCAATTAATTCGAATGGATCTGGAGTCAAGCATATACACTGAAAACCAAATACCACTGACGTCCTAATGTGTAAACAATACGACGTCAGCCGTATGTTTACATTGCATTGTTTTTCGCCAAAATTGCCTACTTAGTTTTAGTGCATACTTTTGACTCATTTGTCAACC